TTATTATTTCTTATGCTTTCTCTGTACCTATTGATATGACCATAGGATTTTTTTGTTTAGCTGGTTGAGGTGATCAATTACATGAGTTGACTTTTAAATGTTTAGTCATGGGCTGGGGTTGTGGCTCAAGCGGTAGCGCGCCGAAAAAAAAAACAAAACTAAAAAATAAATATTAAATATTTAGTCATTCTTAAATTCTAGGCTAGGCAGGTACTATACCACTGAATTAAGCTCTCTTCAGTATCTTTTCACCTGTATTTTAGAAGCAGTTTGTCTTCTCTCCCTCTAATCTGTAATGGGATTGAAACTCAGGACACTCTCACTGAGCTACACTCCTTTCTTTTATTAATTTATTTTTGTTATTTCTTATAATGTTTATCTAGTTTTATATTTTGGCACTGTGGACCTCATGCATTATGAAGTAGTAGTTTTGCATCTCTTACCCGGAAGACATTGTAATGCTTGATATGCTTTTTTTTTTTTTTTAATATTTTTATTTTTTAGTTTTTGGCAGACACAACATCTTTGTTTGTATGTGGTGCTGAGGATCAAACCCGGGCCGCATGCATGCCAGGCGAGCACGCTACCACTTGAGCCACATCCCCAGCCCCGATTGATATGCTTAAAGGTTAGAATATGCTTAAAGATTGATATGCTTAAAGGTTAGAATAAAGACAAGGTGGGCCTGGTTCTCCCTGTTTTTGAGTTTCTATTGTTTCAATTTGTGGAATACATAGAGCCTTATTTATATTGTTTATCTTTTCTCATGTGAGTTTTTCTGGATTGTTTCTTTCCAGAAATTGTTTGACTTCTTCCAAGTTCTTTTTCTGTGGCTTAAGAGTATCTTGCTCTTGTTTTGCAGGTTATCCAATGTAATACATTACACTGTTGAGTTGAGGTCTTTCTTCTTTTCTAATATACACATTTATTGTTCTAAAGTTCTCCCTATGCACTGCTTTTTCTGTATCCCATAAGTAATATTAGCATGCTTGTTCAAGTTCACATAATTTGAAATACTTAAATTTCTTTGGTGTTCTTTCTTTCTATTCATATGCTATTGTTTGTTTGTTTGTGATGCTGGCGATTGAACCCAGGTACTTGTACATGTGAGGCAAGCACTTTACCACCTAAACTATATCCACATCCCTTAGCCATTGCTGAATGGCTGAATTAATCTGATTACCAAATACATTGCTTTACATATATTTTGTGTGTGTTTGGAATGAGGGCACTTTAAACATACTTCTCTAATGATTTCTCACAGTACTAGATTTCTTGAATTTATTTCTCATATATAAGAAATGTTTTGACTCCAACCTGATGTCTTGATAGTTAAAACTGTTTTTTTTGTTTTGTTTTGTTTTTGTTTTTTTTCTCATAAAGTGCACAAGGGTGGAGCACAGGGTGGATCTTGTTTTCTACCAGTCTGTCTGTATTTAAAGGGATTATTGATACAATGGGATTAATATACACCATATTTGTAACTAATTTCTGTTTTACTTTATGTGATCCCTTTTCCTACATCTTTTTGCTTCTCTCTAAAGAACTTTCCAAAAGGCATGACAAGGAGATACATTGGTGAAACAGTCTCTGACTTCATCTTAGATGATTCTTTGTTCTCCTTGCTTCATTATGTCATGGAACACCTATAGTGATGGCTTCATGTGACTTGTTATAATTGCAAATTACTCTATGGGTTTTTGTTTGTTTGGTTGGTTGGTTGCTTGCTTTTTTGTTTGGTGATACTGAAGATTGAATCTTTATCACAGTTAGATCCCACCCTTTTTAATTTTTTGTTTAGAGTTAGGGTCTTGGTGCATTGCCAAGGCTGGCCTTGAACTTGTGATCCTTCTGCCTTAGCCTACTGACTCAGTGGGATTACAGGAGTGTATCACTTGCCCAGTGAATGTCTTTGTTGACTGAATTCAAATTCTGAGGTTTCTCAGAAGTGGCTTTTCTCTCTCTCTCTCTCTCTTTTTTTTTTTTTTTTTTCAATTAATGAGCCCTGTTTCCCTTTTCTTTATTACTATGATGATGATGATGATGCCGCTGCCAGGGAGTGAACCCAGGGGCGTTAAACCACTAAGCCACATCCCCAGCTCAGTAGCTTAAAGCCTTGCCAAGTTGCTGAAGCTGGCTTTGAATTTGCCATCCTCTTGCCTCAGCCTCCTTAATCTCCGGGATTATAGGCATGCACCAGTGTGTCTGGCTCCTTATTATTCCTTGATTGTTAGACATTAAATATGCCTAGAGGATTTGATGAGCTAAGTTTTTTCCTCTGTTGTTTTTTTCCTTTTTCAATTTTTTTTTTTTTTTTTAAATTTTTGGTTTGGGGGATGATGCCAGAAGCCCTAAATCACTCAGCCATATCCCTTCCTATTTTTAAAAACTTATTAATTTTCTTTATTTCTTTATTATTTTTGAGACAGGGTCTTGCTAAGTCCAAGTTGCTGGGATTATATGCATGTGCCAATGGAGCAGGCAAGAACAATTTTTTGTTTTCTTAGGAAAAGCTTTTGTTATTGACATTTTGCAATTTTATAGGTCAGTGTATAGGTGACATCTAGGTGAAGTAAAATCTTTCTAAGAACACATACCACTTTCCCCCTTGTTTTATTGTGCTTTGACATTCTCCATCAAATTTTTATTGATTACCTATTAGTCTACTGAGTTATCCTTAATGAATCTTATTTACTATTTAATTCTAATGACTTACAGGAACCTGGTACAGGCTTCTGGTTGTGGGCCCTTAGTGCAATCCCAAAGTATATACTAAATTCTCTAATGTTTTGCAAAAGAGGTTTCAAATTTGGTCTGATAGTCCAGTTCATTGGAGATTCATCACTCTTAGTGTATTTTGGGCGTTGATGAGATAGGCCACTTCTTCTCTTTTTAAAAATATTTTTTAGCTGTAGATGGATACGATATTTTTATTTATTTATTTATTTATTTTTAGGTGGTGCTGAGACTCAAATACTGTGCCTCATGTGTGCAAGGCAAGCATTCTACCACTAAGCCACAGCCACAGCCTGAGATAGGCAACTTCTGACAAGCATATCAAACTATTCCAGTTAGAGGACCAGCAGGATTTAAACAGGCTGCATTTTGTTGGGATAACCTGCTTGGGAACCCCAAGCCCTTCCTTGCAGTTAAGCTGGTGAGGTTCATCCCGGCAGTAATTGCTAGATACCAACAAAGTTCAAAGTATTTTCTCAAGCATTCCTAAGAATGTGCTGTCTCAGGACAGCTATTGTTACTAAGCACTGTATATAGTTGGACTTTGTTGTGGGAAGTGCTTGAGACCTGTGTAGAAAGAGAATTGGAGAGACCTAGCAGTACTGCAAGTGTTCCTGTTCTCCCTGGGAGGACATAGTATGATGTGAAATTCTCACAAGTGAATGAGGTCTCTAGTGCTGTGTGTCTCATTTTCCTCCTGGGAATACCTGTGGGATATTTCAGGAGCCAGTGACCTTTAAGGATGTGGCTGTGAACTTCACCCTGGAGGAGTGGGCTCTGCTGGATCCTTCCCAGAAGAAGCTCTTCAAAGATGTGATGCAGGAAACCTTCTGGAACCTGATCACTATAGGTAAGGGTGACATATGACATACTCTTCTCACTTAGTCAATCAGAGAACTGTTGTTCAGTTATCAGTGCTGTTCCATGATTTGGAATATTCGAAGCCCACATTTTGATGACTGTATTGGCATGGTGACATTATACAACAGATCTGCCACACTCTTACAGTTTTTTATAATTTTGAAATGAATCATAATGATTTTTCTGGGTCTGTATTTTAGGAAAACAATGGAAAAATCAGGCCATTGATGATCACTACAATTCCAGGGGAAATCTAAGGTAATTTAACTCACAAGAGAAGGCAATGTTCCTCACAAATCTGGGAGTAACTTATTAAAAAAATCATAAAAATAAGGAAAAGATACACCCCAAGGTACAGAGTGATTTATCTCCATTTGTTCACTTCAGTGCATACAGGTTGAACATGCATAATTGGAGAGCGCAAAACCCAAATGAAACAGTGCCTTGATGTCTTAAGTGACACTTTCTGGTAGTTTATTATATACAGACTGTTTTCCATACACAGTTTATTAAAAATGTATGAAATTACCTTCAAGTGGGACTCATTTTGAAGATATTTTACTGTGTATACACAAATATCACAAAATCCAATCTGAATTTTTTCCCACGCATTTCACATAAGCAGTACTCAATTGTATTTACAAGTGTAAGCATCTTCAGAGTTAACAAAATCGTAACTTGGCAGGATTATTTAGAAAGCTGATCTGGGCAGTGATGCACACCTCTAATCCCAGCTACTAGGGAGTCTGAGGGAGAAGGATCACAAGTGGGAGGCCAGCCTCAGCACTGTAGTGAGGCTCCAAGCAACTTACTAAGATGCTATCAAAAAAAAAAAAGAAAGAAAGAAAACTTTAAAAGGACTGGAAGGTAGCTCAACAGTAAAGCTTACACAGCATAAAACCAATTCTTCTGCTAAATCATTAATATTACAAATACTTAGTAATGTGCTTTTCATTTTTTGCAGAAGTCAAGTGTTAGAGAGACTCTGTGAACAGAAAGAAGATGGTCAATGTGGAGAAATCCTCAGCCACATAATAGATTCTCTTGTTAACAAGAGAAGTTCTGGAGTAAAACCTAGTGAACACCATGTGTGTGGAGAAGTCACCATTGCTGATTCATCCCTAGCTGTGCCCCTGATAGCTCACACTGGACACAAAGCACATGAGTATCAGGAATATGGAGAGAAGCCATATGAATATAAGGAACATGGGAAAGCCTTGCATGATCCCCAACGTTTCCAGAAGCATGAAAGAACTCACACAGCAGAGAAACCCCATGTGTGTAAGCACTGTGGAAAAGCCTTTAGTTCTTCCAGCTACATTAAAATCCATGAACGAATTCACAGTGGAGAGAGACCTTATGTGTGTAAGCAATGTGGAAAAGGCTTTAGTTCTTCTGGTGACATGAAAAGGCATGAACAAATTCACAGTGGAAAGAAACCCCATGTGTGTAAGCACTGTGGAAAAGCCTTTAGTTCTTCCAGCTACATTAAAATCCATGAGCAAATTCACAGTGCAGAGAAACCTTATGTGTGTAAGCAATGTGGAAAAAGCTTTAGTTCTTCTAGCCAAATGGAAACACATGAACAAATTCACAGTGAAGAGAAACGCTATGTGTGTAAGCAATGTGGAAAAGGCTTTAGTACTTACAGATATATGAAAAGACATGAAGAAATTCACAATGGAGTGAAACCCTACACATGTAAACAATGTGGGAAAGGCTTTAGTACTTCTAGATACATGAAAAGACATGTACTAATTCACAGTGGAGAGAAATCTCATGTATGCAAGAAATGTGGAAAAGGCTTTAGTACTTCTAAGTACTTGAAAATCCATGAACGAAATCACAGTGAAGAGAAACCCTATACATGTAAACAATGTGGGAAAGCTTTCAGGCATTCCAAAGCAATCAGAAGACATGAAAAAACTCACACTGGAGAAAAACCCTATGTATGTAAGCAGTGTGGAAGAGGCTTTAGTTCTTCTACCAATTTTAAAACACATGAACGAATTCATAGTGGAGAGAAACCCTATGTATGCAAGAAATGTGGAAAAGGCTTTAGTTCTTGCAATTCAATTAGAATACATGAACGAATTCACAGTGGAGAGAAACCCTATACGTGTAAACAATGTGGGAAAGCTTTCAGTTATTACGGTTCAATCAGAAAACATGAAAAGTCTCAAGAACACTGGAGAAAAACCCTATGTATATAAGCAATGTGGAAAAGGCTTTACTTCTTATAGCCATACCAAAACTCATGAATGAGTGGCTGGAGTTGCGGCTCAGTGGTGGAGCACTTTCCTAGCAAGTGTGAGGCACTGGGGTTTGATTCTTAGCACCACATATAAATAAATGAATAAAATAAAGGTCCACCAACATCTAAAAAATATTTTTTAAAAACACATGAGTAAAATAACAGTGCCAAGAAACCTTATACATGTAAGCAATGTAGGAAAGCTTTTCAATTCCCCAGAACCCTTCAAATACATGAAATAATGCTCAATGGAGAAAAACCCTATGTATGCAAGAAACTTCTAGCTCTATTGGAACTTCCAGCTCTATTAGAATATATAAACGAATTCACAGTGGAGAGAAACCCTGTACATGTAAGCAATGTGGGAAAGCTTTCAGTTTTTACAGTTCAATCATAAAACATGAAAAACCTCAAAAACACCGGAGAAAAACCCTATATATGTAACCAATGTGGGAAAGGGTTTAAGCACATGAAAACATTCACAGTGAAGAGAAACCTTATACATGTAAATAATGTAGGAAAGCTTTTTATTTTCCCAGATCCCTTCAAATACATGAAATAATGCACAATGAGAGAAATGTTGTGTATGTTAGCAATGTGGAAAAGGCTTCAGTTCATCTACCATATGAAGACTTTCAGAGTGAAGAGAAACCCTATACATGTACACAATCTGGTAAAGCTTTTCTTCATTCCTATTTAGTCAAAAGACATGAAATAAATCACACTGGAGAAAAATCCTATGTATGCATGCAATGTGGCAAAGCCTATGGTGATTCCAGTCCCCTCAGACAACATCAAAGATTTCACAGTGCCATGAAACATGCATGTGAGCAGTGCGGGAAAGCCTTCAGTCATTCCTCCATCCTTAAAATACATGGAAGAATGCACACTGAAGAGAAACCCTGTGTGTGTAAAGAGTGCAAAGAAGCCTTCACTCCATTCAGGTACCTTTTCAAAATTCAAGGAACTCACACTTGAGAGAAACCCATGAGTGTAAGCCATGTGAGAAAGTGTTCCTGTTCACAGTTCCCTTTGATACCATGAAAAAGATCATAGCGAGGAGGAACCTTAATGATGTCAGCAATGTGGGATAACCTTAATTTTAAGATTCTTTCAAGTACATAAAACACCACATGGAGAGTAACCCTGTATCAACAGAAGAAATGGGAAGTCTTTATTATCACATGAACTTGTGAGCAAACCTAATAAGCAGCTGCAATAACTTGTATTTTTGCATTGGAAGTTTTGACCCTTGTTGCCATCTTGGTTCAGTGTGCCCATATAAATGAGCACAGTATGCGGTGGACCTGCAATAGAAGGAAGACCTGTGCAACAATCTCTCTTTGGTTCGTATGTAAGAAATCACAGTGAATGAAAAACCCTGTGAATGTCTGTATCCCAGTGACTTGGGAGGCTGAGGTAGGAGGTTTGCAATTTCAAATTCAACCTCATCAATTTAGAGAGGTCCTAAGCAACTTAGAAGAAACCAGAGACTGGCAATAAATTACCTTTTTTCTGAAATATTTATATGCTACTTTTTCTCACATTCCTATGTATCTGATCTTTTTAAGCCAAAGGCATTTATTTGCTTAAAGATGAATTGGATATATTTTACGGAAATCAGGGTGAGAAGAAATCTATAACTATTAACTTTCAAAATAAATTTTTTGTGTTCTCAGTTTAAAGATAAATTAAGAATAAATGGGATTGATTCAAGCAAAAAAAAAAAAAAAGCTTCCTCTTAGCAAAAGAAAGAGTCAATGATGAGAAGTGGGAGGCTACAGAGTACAAGAATATCTTTATCACATGCACATCAGATAGAGCACTAATCTCCTGGATCTATAAAGAACTCAAAAAATTTAACAACAAAAAATACAACTCAATCAATAAATGGGCTAAGGAACTGAATAGACACTTCTCAGACTATATACAAGTGATCAACAAATATATGAAAAAATGTTAAGCATTTCTAGTAATTAGTGAAGTGCAAATTAAAACTAAGATTTCATCTTACTTCAGTCAGAATGGCAGTTGTTAAGAATACAAGCAATGGGGTTGGGGTTATGGCTCAGCAGTAGAGTACTTGCCTAGCATGTGTGAAGCCCTGGGTTTGATCCTCAGCAGCACATAAAAATAAATAAAATAAAGGTATCATATCCAACTACAACTAAAAAATACATATTTTTTTTTAAAAAAATGAATACAAGCAATAATAAGTGTTAGCATGGATGTGGGGAGAAAGGTATACTCATACAATGCTGGTGGGATTGCAAATTGGTGCAACCACTTTGGAAAGCAGAGTGGAGATTCTTCAGAAAACTTGGAAAGGAACCACCATTTGACCCAGCTATACCACTCTTTGGTCTATACCCAAAGGACCTAAAATCATCATACTGTAGTGATGTGGCTACACTGATGTTTGTAGTAGCTCAGTTTACAATACCTAAATTTTGGAAACAACCTCAATACCCATCGATAGATGAGTGGATAAAGAAACTGAGATATCGGGCTGGGGATGTGACTCAAGCAATAGCGCGCTCGCCTGGCATGCGTGCGGCCTGGGTTTGATCCTCAGCACCACAAACAAAACAAAGATGTTGTATCCGCCGATAACTAAAAAATAAATATTAAAATTCTCTCTCTCTCTCTCACTCTCTCTTTAAAAAAAAAAGAAACTGAGATATATATATATATATATATATATATATATATATATATATACACACATACATACACACACACACATATATACATACATACATACATACATATACATACATACACACAATGTGGAATATTACTCAGTGTTGTTGAGACCCACAGCCGAAGGGGCCCCAGCAAACTTCCAGCTGCCAGCTGATGATTGGCTCACAGCGGCCCCAGCAAACTTCTAGCTGCCAACAGATTGGCTCCTCTGCGGTGATGCTCATTGGGCTGTTTCCCCGCCCTTTCAGGCCAAGGAGCTGCTCATTGGGGGACTTTTTGGCTCCGCCCACGTGACCCAGCCAATCGGCCTCAAGAGCAGGAGGAGTGGGGGAGGTGCAGAGGCTTGTGGGAAGCCGTGGTGGCAGTTGGGCTCTGAGGGTTTTTCCTGAGGAGCTGTGTGGTTAGGTGTGTGTGTTCTAAAAATAAAGTTCGTTTCTTTTGACATGTGGCTCCTGAATTGTGCCCAGCCAGACTGCGGCATTTGGTGGGCTGCACGGGGAATGACTGAGGGTAAGTGATAAGGTAAACTGCATGCCCCTGAGGGCAGGGCGAGAGGATGGGTAGTCATTTTAAGATTCTTTTGTTTTGTTTCACTTTTGTTTTAAGTTGCCTGTCCCTGGAGATGAGTGAGATGGAAGAAAAATCGCTCACATCTGAGGAAAAACTATTTGCGTCTGAGGAACAGATAGGGAGAAAGTAAGGATGGACATTTCAGGAGGATAGAAAGGCTATAATGATTTCATGTGGTTCCATTTTTATTTCATTCTGTCTCGGTTTTGTTTGGTGTTATCTTGTTGGGTTGTATTATAGTAGAAATATGGGATCAGAAATTAGTAAAAAACAAACCGAAAGAGTGTTAAGTAAATTGTTAGAGGAAGGAGGCATCTCAGTAAAATCAAGAACAGTTAGGGCATACGTTGATACAATACAAAAATGTAGCCCATGGCTTTTTTTTTTTAATATTTATTTATTTAGTTATTAGCGGACACAACATCTCTGTTTGTATGTGGTGCTGAGGATCAAACCCGGGCCGCACGCATGCCAGGCGAGCGCGCTACCACTTGAGCCACATCCCCAGCCCTCCCATGGCTTTTTAAGGAGGAGTTGTTAAATATATCACAATAGAACCATCATGGTGAAGATTCAAAAAGAATAGAAAAGAAAAGCCCAGGGACTCTGCCGGTTGGCACATTGCCATTGTGGATGTTTGTATCTTGTTTGCTTAGTCCAAAGCCTTCAGTTCAGACAATGGTAGAGGAAGGAGAAGACATATTGATTCAAGTAAAAGAGAAGGTCTCTCGAGCTAGTCAGATAGAGGAAAAGGTTCAAGTAAAAGAGAAGGTCTCTCGAACTAGTCAGACAGAGGAAGAAAGTTTAGAGCAGAAAAAGCCATCAGGGGAAAAGTTACAACAGGAGAATGCTACTAACACCTTTCTATCACAAGAGGGTGTAAGTGTCCAACCAACAGTGCCACCTCTATAGGAGACTGCTACTAACACCTTTCTATCACCAGAGGGCGTAAGTGTCCAACCAACAGCGCCACCTCCATATGCTGGGAAGCTCCCAACCCCCGCAGTTGATAATTGGGATCCTGAGACAAGATCTCAAATATTAACATGCCCTGTATTTGAGCAGGCAGGAAGGCAGCGAATTCACCATGCTTTAAATTTCAAAACAGTGAAGCAGCTAAAAGTGGCTGTAACAACCTATTGTCCTCAAGCACCCTTCACTGTAAGCATGGTCGAATCCATTACCAACTTGAACATGATGCCAGCAGATTGGGCTAATATGTGTAAAGCTGTGCTAAATGGAGGACAATACCTGTTATGGAAGGTTGCCAATGAGGAATTTTGCAAGGAGTCGGCTAGGCGAAATGCAGCAGCTGGTTATCCTCAGAGAAATCTAGATATGTTGTTAGGAAAGGGACCTTATGAGGATCAGCAGCAACAAATTGCATATGATCCTGGCGTATACATACAAATTGCTGTAGATGCGGTTAGGGCATGGAAGACTTTACAAGGACATGGAGGTTTACAAGGTCAATTATCTAAGGTAATACAAGGAGCTAATGAACTTTTCGTTGAATTTGTAGATAGGCTTATTCAAACAGCTACCAGAGTTTTTGGGAATACAGAACAAGCAATGCCATTAATAAAACAAGTGGCTTATGAGCAAGCGAATCATTGGTGCAGAGAAGTCATTAGACCATGGAAACATGAAGATTTAAACACATATTAAATTATTTAGAGACAT